GCTGCTTAATTAATTGTTTGATTCTTAAAAATCCTATCATTTTCTGCCTAAGTCTGATCATTCATAAATTGATATACTGCCTAGTCTTATATTAAGCATGCTTACATTATTCCATGTTCGTAATTCAATTCATTGCTGAGGACAACATCGAGTAAATTTGGGAATGATTTAATAAGTGTCCAAGACACTATGTTTTTATGGTTAAAAATAGTTCAAATAATAATTAAAATAATTAAAAATATAGTGTTAGTTAATTAAATATTAAAAGATAGTAAAATTGCAAACAAATGGATAAGATCCTAATCTTTATTGTTGTTTCAGGTTGTTTCATACTAGAATAACAAAGTACTAACCTGATAATGATGAGAGACCGGTTGCAATCTGAAGAATCCGGAGGATACGAAGCAAAAATAAAGAAATAATTAAAAATAAATTATTTGGTCACGCTCGCTCCACTCCTCGCTGAAGCAAGTGAGCGAGAAACACAACAAAGCTCGCTTCACCCCTCGCTTAAGCGAGTGATTGAGCGAGAAGAAGAAAACTCTCGCTGAACAGCTCGCTTCAGCGAGTTGGTCCAGAATTCGAAGCCCAAATATTCCTCTTTAAATACAACGTGAACAAAGCTGTGAAGAGAATTCGGGGGGGGGGGGGGGGGGACGCGAAGAAAGAAGGACGTGATAGACAAAGGCTGGAAGGCGGCCAGAGATGACTTAGAAAGGGAAAAGCTCCGTTCCGGGCCTGAGGAGCGGAGAAACGGTCAAAGCTTCACCGTGGAGACCGAGTTTTATGTTTCTTTTATGTATCTTTATAGTTTCTTAGTATATTTTAATTATGTCTTTATGATTATGCATAGCTAAATTCTTTTAGTAGTTAGGGCGAGACGGAACCAATGGTTCTTAAACACTATTTGCTTCTCTTATGATTTATGTTCTTGATTTAAGTTATGCAATCAATCTGCAATTTATTCCTAGTCTTATTTATGATCTGGCCAGTCTTGAATGAGCATTAGAGTCGTGCATGACAATGGGGATGTTGGTGTATCGATTCCGATTGGTTGATTGCTGGAAATTGTATGATCTAGGGATAGACTTATGAATTCTATAACCGTAGGTTCTTGCGTTCATGTTTATTTTATGAAAAAGTACTAAGGGATTAAGCTTTGGATTAGAATAAAGGATTGGATTACCAAGGGATTGGGATTTAATCAATCATAGAAAGAGCTGTTAATAATTTGATCTTGAATGTAATCATAAGAATAGGCAAACTCATTAAGAAATCATTGGGGAAGTTGAATCCTAGCTACGTTTTTTTTAATTAACAACTTAAATCAATTTTTAGCTTTAATTAATTCTGAATTTAATTTCTAAAATATTTAAAACCAAAATAAGTAGTTTACAAATTCTGTTTTTAATTTAATCACAATATTGTCAAGAAAACCTTTAATGATGGATCCAACTTTAGTTAAATAAATAAATTATTGCTTGGTCATCAGTCCTCGTGGGATCGACAACTTTCTTATCACTCTATTACTTGTACGACCGGTGCACTTGGCGAGTTCGTCAACAATAACTACCCACTATGCTCCACTAATAGCTATGACCTATTCTTTAGTAAATTTAAAATTCAAACAACTACCCACTACTTAAACAACCCAACAATTCAGAAAATAATAAAATAATAAAATAAAAAGATCGTAACATCAAGCTCTTACAATAATCAATAAATGCATAAATATTGACATTTGATGTAGGATAGAAGTTGCTATAATAATATGCGAGCCATTAAAAATTGAATGCATAGTATGTGAACAGTCTTCCGCTAATATTACAATGTTTCAACTTTTTTAGAACCTGTCCACAGCATAGGGAACCATTAACACACAGATTAGTGAAACCAACATAATTTATCAACAAAAGAAAGGAATCGGGTAATATCAACAAACTGAAATTTTAAAATGACAAAATGAATATAACAGATTTTTCCTTTCATGCAATTACATGACTTTTAATATAATTTGTGATAATTTTGAGCCTTGATGTATCCTGAAACCAACATGGCCATTGAAAAAATTGACAACTCAATTCATGTTTAACTCAAGTCCAAATTTCAATTTGTCGAAGAATTACCCTAAGGGGGTGTTTCGTTAAGGGTATATCTTTATTATTCCATGCATTTGGTTTTGGGATTCTTACACATCCATGTTTGGTGAAGGTTTTTATTTGAAGTGTGTGTGTAAAATGAGAAATATTTCACTATTTAGAATGACAACTTCAATGGTGGTTTTTGTAATTGCATGGGTAAATATGGCAAGGGGGACATCATGATGGAGACCAAAATACCCCAACTAAAGAACATATATTGACATTCAAAAATTATAAACGGATTAATTTGGTAATTTTAACTCATTTCCCCATTTATATTTTATCTCAAATCAAATATAGATTTTATAAATTTTACCTAATTTGTCTGGTAAATTTTTTTCCAACCAAACAACTTTTTTTACAGTTTCCTACCAAACTCACTTTCCAACCATTTTCCTAGTATTCAAAAAATTTCTCCTTAACCAAACGTCCCCTAACAATAACAAGTACGGGGTCTAGTCGTAGTCGACAACTCAACTAGTTCTACTGGTTAAACCAATATTTTCGATGCTTATGATAATAACAAAAAGGATACGATCCACTTATCATTAAAAAAAATTATCACTCTTATAACCAATTTAATATCATTGATTTCTATCAATCTAATGGTTATAACTTATTGGGAATTAATAACATTTATTATGTCATATTTATTAATTAATTATTAATTCTCAGTAAATTATAATCATTAAATTGACAGAAATCAACAGTGATTAAATTGATTGTAAGAATAATAAACTTTTTTGGTAATAAGTATTTCATGCCCCTAATAAAAAATATTTGATGTAAAAGCATTAAATATAGGGAATCATAACCATACAAAGATGAAAATAAATATAAAGTATTAAATATGGGGAATCATAACCTTACAAAGATGAAAATAAATATAACCGTTGGATCAACATAATCGATCTAACGGTGAAATTAATTGGTAGTAACACTAATTGATTGTTACAATATCTTTCCTATTATTTTTATTATATTATTTATTGTGTTATCAAACGTAATTTTCATTCTCAGAATAAAAATAGAATATATTTTCAAACACATTTTTTTTCTCAGAAACTATTTCAAGAAAAATGTCAGGGAACAGAATGGTTGTCATGCACACCTTTAGGGTGTGCATGACAACCTTCCCAGAATTATTTTTTTCAATTTTTGTTCCCGAGAACAAAAATGAATAGAAATAGTGTTTGACAAAATAGATTTATTTTTTTATTCCCGAGAATGAACCGGTTCAATTTCTGTACTAGGGAACAAAATAAAGAATTAAAAAATATCTGTTTTTTTTGTTCCCGAGCACAAAATGAGAAACATTTGTCTTTTTTAATCACTTTCAACCACTATCATCATCACTACCACCACCATCCCGACATGACCACTGCCACCATCGCCGTCGCCGCCGTCATCACCACCGCCACCACCATCACTACAACCATGCCACAACCATCACTACCCCACTACCATCCCCACGCCATCGTCACCATCATGTCACCACTACCATTGCCGCCACAACCATGCCACCATTATTGCCACCACCACCACCATCATTACCACCACTATTTTTCGCGCCACCGCCACCATTATCGCCACTATTACACCACTATTACTATCACTATTATCGCGCCACTGCCACCATCATCGCCACTAATTACCACCACCATGTCACAACCACTACCACCACATCATATGAAAAGAAAAGTGATGATCCAAAATAAATTTATGCTTAATCAGAATGATTTTTTATTCTATTATTTATTGTGTTATCAAATGCAACTCTCATTCTCGAAATAAAAATAGAACTATGTTATCAAACATTTATTTTTTTTTCTCTAAAAAACTGTTACAAGACACAATAGAATTTTAAAAAAAAAAAAATAGTGTCAAGGAATAAAATGATTGTCATGCATACCCTTAATCATTTAATGCATATATTTTGAGGCAGGAAAATACCAATATTATCAATGATCGAATCAATTCATAAAAAGGTTATGCAAACAGTTACATGTGAAAAACACTAGAATGAAGAAATATAAGTTATGCAAAAACGAGAGCATAAAGAACAACTTGAAGCAATTTTAAACAGTGTTTGAATAGACTAAACGAAAAAAAAAAAACACGACAAGTAAAAAAGAAAAAAAATAGGATGTAGGTGATTTTAGAATGGAAAAAATTATTTTCATGCTACATGAGATAAGTTTTCTCTCCTACACACCTTTAATAAATGTGCCACCTTTTTCTTGTATTTTTTCAGGTGGTGGAATCCATAAATTTATCTCTATGACATAAAATAACTTATCTCATTTAATATGAAATTAACAAAATCCTTTTAGAATATGCCTCGTTCGAATATTTAAACTTCTATTACCAATAAGGGAAATACAAGTCTCGTATTATAATGAATTTGTTATCTCATATCATAAATATAAAGTATGTTAATTTCATTTTTAAAAAAATAAATAAATATTGACACAACTTTCAATATATGAATAAACATACCACTAATAATAAAAACAAGAATGCAAGTTCTCCTACAATATGAACATGACTTAAGAGGTTAAAATATTACAATTAGGACACCGCAAGAAAAAGATAATTATACTACCTTTCCCAGAGTTTACACACTCATCCATCTGAATTAAACACAACAGAGAATGTTACCAAAAAAAAGAAAAACACAACAGAGATTTATTTCACGCAGAGAAATATCATTAAGCAATTTATAACTTGAGAAAAGACAGCAATACTCTTTAAACATTTTACAACACATTCTTTATTATTAAGCCACATCTCATACTTGTTTTAAATATCATCTTTTTCTTTCTTCAATTGCTCAACAAGTATGAGACTAACCCAATAATAAAAAATATATTGAAATAAGTGTTCAAAAAGTGTTGGTAGTTTGAAAAAAAAACAAAAACAAAAGTGTTAGTACCAGACTATTATAAAAAATATCACAAAATGAGTTGCCCTTCCATTTCTGGCCTCTGGATTATAAATTCTGGTCCAGAAAATTACTTCAACAAATAAAAATAAAAATAATGACTTTCTAATTCTCATTTTTCCATATCAAAACAGTTTCAGCCTTCACAAGCCGGATGCTAGCCAAAAGCTTCATCACTGCTCTCCGTCAGTCCTGCAGGGTGAACTCTAAGCAATAGAAGAAATTTTCTGTTCTGCCTCTTAACATTTCCAACGATAACAGAACAAGGAAAAATAAATTTTCCATTCTGAACAGCATAAAAATCAGGGATGTTTCAATTCAAGGCAATAAACGGAAGGAGGGAGAGAAAGAGAAGGAATTTGGTTGCCTACATGTAAATTTCTTGTTAATGTAAACTTAATTTGACAAGACAAATATATATACGAGAAACAATCCTCCTTAGATTGAAATTAATTGCTCCTATGATTGTAGAAGGTATGGTCTCCTCTGTATTGGTAATGGCTTACTTGAGGAGGTTGTGTATGAATTGATCCACGACAAGGATCTGGAGTTACAGCTCTTTGATGAAATGTCCCAACAAGGTCCAGGGAACTTTGTGAGGAAACAGGATGAGATTGTTTGGAAGGATTATAAGACCCTTCAAAAGCTACTGGGTTTAAGGCAAAACGAGAAGGAACTGTCCCTGGACCGTAACCTTGATGCACCTTAATAGTTGTACTATGAATAGCATGAGGAGGTTGGTAGGAAACCGAGGGAGTAAAAGAAGCAAGTGCATTATGCACAGTTTCACCCCGAGCTTGCTGCATCCAACCCATGCTGCCATGGGGTTCAGTTCCTTGCAAACCTTGAACAAAATTTCTTTCACTAGGTTTCTGAACCTGGTTTTCTACTAAACCTTCCACTAAGTGTCTCTTTTTTGGTGGACAAGGATTTTGCAAAGTAGGAAGGTTATTCTTGTTGCTAGTACCCTCAACTCCTAGAGTAAAAACAGTATGTACTCCAAACAAAAGATCCATCAATTCGGTTCCCTGCATCTGGCCACTTAGAAACAGCGAAATGTAGTTAAGAGATTTATGGATACAACTGTAGATTGTCTTTACCTCTTCCGTTCCAACAGCTCTAGCAACGTTTTGAGACCGATCCATGAAATCCTCAATCTGTTCAACAAAATATCATCAAAATAAACTAAACATCATTGGTTAATATCCAATTAAAAAGGGGTCGGTGGAAATGGATTTAATTACACTTATTGAGTAAAAACGATCCCATGATTTTATAATCCACGACCCTTCATATAAGCTTGCACAAAATCCTTTTTGCCAAAGCTTTTCAACTGATGCTAGCTGCACTAAGAATGAAGTTACCAAATGATCATGTTTCCATAATAGTGAAAAATCTTACACTATTTCACACTTCATACCTTAAGCGCACAAAACTTACGGGTTAAAAAATAGGGAAACTAATCTACCTAATCAAATCAAATCAAAATCTGATTTAGTTACAAATATACACCCTAATATTTACAACAATTACCTTGAGAAAAAAAGTAATGAAAAGCTTAGCCAATGACTCTTTGTTCTCTTTCCCATAGTTGAAATAAGTTTTAACTATCTTAGTCACAGATGATGGATCAGCTCCCTCTGGAACATAACAAATCAAACAAAAATGTCAAAGTTAAGTTGCAAAAGTCAATCCTGAAAACTAAGACAAGATAATAAAAATTTCATAATTCTGGTAACTTCCTTGCCATAGCAAAACATACACAAACATTGGCATTTCAAATGTAAAGCCCATTTAAGATGTCTACTACAAGTCATTAAAGGTTTTTACTAGCAGTCACCACGACGCCTATCTTTTTTTCTCCTATTCCTTTGTTAAATTCATTTTTGCTTTTGAAACTATGTTTAGAGTCTTCCGAGCAAACAATAGTATAATGACCCTAACCTGTGAATTATGAAATTACGAGTTTATTACCTTTTGCTAAAAGTGTGAAAAGTGGCAGTTGTGAGGTAAAAATGCGAGTAGGCAAAGTTACTCAAAAGATAAAAGTAAAATGGTGAAAATTATCACAAAAATATTCTATGTCAATATGTCAAATCTGAGAGAGTTAAGTGAGTGGGATAGATAAGTCTTTACCCGATTGAATGTTGCCACTCACTTAAATAACCAAAAGACACTCCTTTTCTCCTTCATTTTTCTTCTTCGCGTCGGATTGCAACCCTTACAACCAAAGAGAGTTTCTTCTTCTCCTTCACCATGGAGCTCTCTTCCTCTTCAAAGAAACCAGAGAAAATACCCATACGTCTTCATCATTTAACATCCCACCATTTTAGCAACTAGAGTTAGAGAAGTTTGAAGAAGAAAACCCTCCATTTGAGAGCTGCCATTTCGGATTGGGAGGCTTGGAAGATAGCTTTTTCCTTGGTTGTGAGCTTGGGTGTCTTCACTCTCTTGAGTGTAGAGATGTGCATGGGTTGAACCGAACCGAATTTTTTGAAAAATCGAACCGAATTGGTTTAAATGGTTCGGTTCGGTTCAAAACTGGTTCAGTTCGGAAGTGGTTCGGTTCGGTTGAAAATGATTCGGTTCGGTTCCGGAAACAGTTCCGGTCAACCCTCTTTTGAAAAGAAAAAAATTTAAAATTTAAAAAATAAAGTTATAAAAATCTATTTGGTTCGGTTCGGTTCAAAATGGTTCGGTTCTTAAACTGGTTCTAAAACCGGTTCGGTTCATGAACTGGTTCTTTAAAAACCGGTTCGGTTCATGAACTGGTTTTTAAAAACCGGTTATTTTAAGGGCAGTTCGGTTCATGGTTCGGTTCAGTTTTTTGGTTATTTGCACACCCCTACTTGTGTGGAGTTCCTAGGTAAGAGAATATGATTTTCCCTCTTTTGTTCAATGTCAAATGCCATGATTTAGGGTTTGGAAATTAAGGATTTTATGATATATGAGTTGGTCGACAAGCCTAAGTATGGAAATGCATGCTAGATCACTTGGATAAGTGTGTTTTGATGTAAAATGGACCTTTATGCAAGTAGAAGCTACTGTTTTTGGTCTATGTCGAGGAGGGATTCGAATCCTTTCAAAAGGAATTCGAATCCCTACTGTTAAAATGCTGAATTTTAGCTTCTGCCAAGGAGAGATTTGAATCCCTTCAATGGAACATGGTATAGTAAAATGTGAATAACTTGAGTTGCGGAGCTCCAAATTGAGCGTTGTTTGACCCTATGTGAAGCTAACACACAGGGCTATCACACTATAAAATTTCAGAGCCAATAGATGAGTGTATTAATCGTAGTTTAAGTTTAAAGTCACTGCCTAGTTTCTGAAAATCCAGTTTGCAGTAGTCGGTTGGCGAAAGACATAATCTGAGTTATACAGCTCCAATTGAGACATATAATATGTCGTTGGAAAGTTTGAGAATCTAGTTTAACATAGTAAAATATTGGAATGTAATGGACTAGTATATGTGCTGACTGTTTTCACATTTCTGAAATAGGTTGTGATTTCTTGGATACTAAGTGTACGTCGGGGACCATTGCTTTGACAGGTAAGCTTTCAGTCCTTGGGGTTAATCCTCCATTTCTTCCACCAGACTCCAAGTGAGGATGGTTCTTTGATATGGTATATCGTAAATGAATTGATATAATGATGTATGTATATGTATGTATGTTTGTGTGCCACACAAGATGATGTTTCTTTGTGTGAGGCATAAGACGGTGTTTCCTTATGCTTAGTATAAGACAGTGTTTCCTATAACGGGTATGTTGCAAGACGGTGTTTCCTTGCGTAATGCATACATGTTGTATTCTCTAACCAATAGGATTTATTAATGCAAACATGCATTAATATACATATTTTGATGCATACATTTATTCTATACTGTGGTTATACCTGAAGTGAATCTAGGGGTTGAGGAGCCCTCTAAGAACCCATAGTTGACTGAGATGATATCTCATCCCGTGTTATGGGGATAACCATTTCAGGTACAGTAGCTGATGGTGTTGAGGCATCGCATGGCAGGATGCCGGGAGAGAGATATTATTTGACGTGATATCCATGATTTAGTTTGTCATTTTGTTATGTACATGTCATGTCATTTTTTTGGAGAGCATATGGGATGTCTATGCCATGTTGATAGCTACTTATGTTATTAGTGATGTATGCATAGGTCTATATTACTTATTTAATTACATCTCTTTTGTTTATTTGATGTAATCATGTAAGTAACATTATGGACATTATTTTGAGACTTGATGGTTATGAGATAGCCTATGCCATGGATGACTGGGCAATATGATTTATGCTTGTATATTTATTTGAGCCTAATATGTATGAATCCATGGATGGATTCTAGGTTAGACTAGTGGATATAGTGTATTATGCCTGAATTATAGTAAACTGTTAATCAGGTTGGAATTACCATGGTGAAAACTATTCCTAGTGGTCCAAATTACAGACGAAACGTTGTCCGTTTTATTTTGACCAAAGAGACGATAAAGAATTGCAATATATAAGGAAAAATAAAAAAGTTATTCACATTTTATTACTAGACGTAGTAATGAATTAGTAAGTAAGCTTCCGCATTTAATTATTTAAACATGTTGCGCTAATTATGAAATGTATGTTAATACACCGGGTGCACACGAGGTGTTACAGACAGGCCTAAGACTGTCGATGATTTCAAGACAGATCTTAGCCACATATAGCTATTAACAATTATTCAAAACAACTCGAGCTTTTGTGTTTCCATTTTGTCTCTTATTGTAGTAATACATGAAATAGTGCTACATCAAAGCATGATTAAGACTTAGTATGCAATCAATCAACCACTTCATGTTACATAAAAAGAACACACGCACACATACAGTTTGAGATGCCTAAGTCCATCACATCTACGAGTAATAATATAGATACAAGACATTCCTATAATGAAATTTTTAGGGTTTTAAAAATCTTATGATGTTAGTAGTTTTATTAGGCTAAGCTTATCCTAGTCGTACTATACTAGTTAGTACTTGACCTAGATTATTAGTATAAATAAGAGCTAGTAGTTTGAATGTAACACATAATTACACCCAAACTCTGTATTTCAAGATGTTACATATGTGTACCATCCCCATTGACCTGATTTGGTCAAAGGGTAATGTTATAGGCCATCTCCCTAGACCCTTTCCTCTTTTATTGATTGAAAATTATGTACTAATTAGAAAGCAATCTTAGTGATCAAGAATTTGATTTGGTTATACACAAAATCTCAACACATATTTTACCTTAAAATTGATATCTGCACTTGTTACTTGTTTTTTCTTTTACTTATTATTTCAATGAAATTATAATAGTTTAAAAGTTCGTAATCTTTTCCTTCTTATTAACTGCAGACTTTATGTTGATTTAACAGAAATAAGTGATTTAAGTATATTATTCTACTTCTTGCTTTTTGATAATACAAGATTAACATCAATAAAGACACAATATCAGAGTAAATCTCCTATTAATAGGCAAACCAAACCAATCAGCAATAAAGTATCTCAAAACTTGAGTATTACCCTTGTCTTCGTACAATAATCCTTGACCTAGAGCATTTTTAACATATCATAATATTTGTACCAGGGCATTCCAATGATCAACACAGAGAGATTGCATGAATTGGCTCACTACACTAACTGCAAAGAAATGTCTTGTCGGGTTAGTGTAAGGTAGTTTAGCTTCCCAACTAACCTTCGTTACCTACCAGATATGCCTATCCTTGATCCGGTAATAGTTTACTATTAAGATCCCTTGGGGTATCAATAGGTTCATAGTCTGTCATACCAGTTTCCTCCAATATATCCAATGAATATCTTCTCTGAAATCGCAATACCATTCCGTGATTGAGCTACCTCAAGCCCAAGAAAGTATTTAAGCTTACCCAAATATTTGATTTGAAAGTGACTAAACAAATGCTTCTTCAACTAAGATATTTTGTAATGATCATTACTTGTAATAAGTGTATCATCATCATAAACTATCATATAAATGCATCGACTAGATGGAGTGTGTCAATAGAAGACAGAATGATCAGCTTCACTTCGTATTAACCCAACCTCCTGCACAACAGAATTGAACTTACCAAACCAAACTCAAGAGGACTATTCCAACCCATAAAGTGACCATTTCAACTTAAAAACCAAACCTGGCTTCACCTGAGTAACAAACCCAATTGGTTACTCCATATATATCTCTTCTTCAAGGTCACCATAAAGGAAGCTATTCTTTATGTCTAGTTGATATAACAACCAATGTCCAATAGCTTCCATGGCAACAAAGATGAAAAAAATCCATTTTGGCTACTAGAGAGAATGTGCCACTGTAGTCAAGACAATAGGTTTGAGTGTATCTTTTAGCAATTAGATGAGATTTGAGGTGATCAATGTGACTGTTGGGCCTACCTTGACAGCATATACCCAGTGGAATCTCTATATGATTGATTGCCAGTTATATGGTTGTAGGCACCTGTATCAAGAATCCATGGTGTGGAATTATTACATTTATGAGATATACAAATTGTAGGATTGCCCATATGATCAACAGTGGTAGTAAAGGACTAAGTTTGTTTGGCTGCCTTCAACTAGAGATACTTCTTGAACTCTACCTCTGAAATAGAAATAGAAGGTTTACCCAAGAGGGCACTATGAGATTGATTTGTTACTTCGGATAACCAAGGACCTTTGTAATGGGAAGGAGTACTTGAACTTGAGGCCATAGCTTCCTTATTGACTTCAACCAACTCAAAGAACTAAATTAGGCTTGGAAGAAAACACTGAATTCACACCAAAGTTGCTCTAAACAGATCTGTCTAACACTAGAGATTTATTAGAAATGTCCAACCACATTTAAATCAACTTATAAACCGAAAGAGCAACATCAGTGCAATATAAAAGCCTAACTGAAGCTCACAATTCGATATCCATGCATTTGGATATGCATAGGCAGCAGAATGAGAATGAGAGTCTTAACACAGGTTGGGCGAGCAAAAGAAGTGACCAGTAGTCTTCTATATTAGGAAAACAAAGGGTGAACAACACACCCACTATCCAAACAAAAAAATAAAGATTGGAAAACCCCTCAAATAACACTAGGAGGAGCCCATAAACAGAACCCAAGTAGGCACATGTGGCACGTGGGATTCATACATAGATGGAAGTGATGGCGTGTGGCGGCACATCAGACTGATGTTAGCAACACTAATTCTTAGTCCAACACATTGAGACTTTCTAAGGCTAATCGTGTCCATGTTTTTATGAAGAAGTTGAGGGTAAAGATCCAGCCTTGAAAAAGGTTGGTTAGTGGGAAATGATGTTTTTGTTCAAAGAGTCAGGCCCAAGATTGGAACCTGCTATGGTACCATGTTAAATGAGATTTCTAAATTGCTTCGGGAATTTATCAACAGTGATTCAATTCATACGCAAGGATTTACACTCTCTAATATAAAAGGAAACTAAATCAAAAGCAAATCAAATCATAATGTAATTACATAATAGACAATACCTTGGAGATAGATCATCTATTTCCCTAGATAGAAGATATTATCCAGCAATAACTTGAATATTTTAGCACGAATTTGTCGCATAACTCTCATCACCACCATTCAATTCTTTTTCTCTTTTTCTTTCTTTCTCACCATCAATGGCCAACATCCGCTTAAGTGAGTCATATAATTCCTCTTATTGCAACAAAATACCATTGCAAGTTCTCAAATAATTTATGAATCCTCCCCCACATTCCCTTTGTCCTGTGATTCTATCATTCCTATTGGTTGTGCACGACCTCCAAAAATAAAAACCCGTAGTATTCCTCCTACCCACAGCTTCTTATACATTGTCTCCTTCCTGATTCCACTGATTGGGTTTCTTCATCCTCTAGGCCTATTTGTTCATGAGATAATCTACTCCTTCCTTTGTTTGATTGGTTTATGTCCTTTTGGCTCATTACTGCTCTGTTATGGCTATTTGGCTAATATTACTGCATTAAATGTCGTCTTCTTGACTATTTTAGGCTGTTTGGTTCAGTACTTGCATAGTTTGTTGTCCTTTCTTCCAGATGCAAGCAATTGATTGAATCAATTCAAGCCAGATGCACTATACATAATTCCATCAATCTACACCTTGTATGTCTTGTATCATTCCGGCCATTCACTGCTTTTACAGTTTTACATCATTTGAGCTGTCATTTTGTTGGGTAGTCTCTCCAGCACAGTTCAAGATGTCTCATTTAGCTACATTATTTCTCCAGCTATGTAGTTTATTGCTCATATACTAAAGTGTGATAGGTTTTAGCAAGCTACAAACACTACAAGCTTCAGCTTGTGAGCAAGTTTCAGAACATTAGGATTTTTGATGATTTGAAAGTCCTATAGTGATAGTACTTTTGTTAGAGTGGATTTGTAATAAATGTACTACACTAGTCCTGGACCTAGATTATTAGTATAAATAGGTGTTATCGGTTAGTATCTAACAAACACAATTTCTCTCAAATAATCTTTGTTTCAACATCTCCAATTCAAAAGGATGAATCATATAGCAGCACTATCTCTCCAGCTATGTAGTTTATTGCTCATATTATACTGAAGTGTGATAGCTTGTAACAAGCTAAAAACATTACCAGCTTCAGCTTGTGAGAAAGTGACATTAGGATTCTTAATGATTTAAAAGTCCTACAACGATAGTACTTTTGTTAGGGTGGATCTGTAATAAATGTATTATACTAGTAGTCCTGGACCTAGATTATTAGTATAAGGTGTTATCGGTTAGTCTCTAGCAAAGACAATTTCTCTCGAATAATCTTTGTTTCAACATCTCCAATTCATAAAGACTGCTTTGTAGAAATAAAGGGTAGCAAATAAGATTCAACTCAAAATCTTATATATTTTTAGCATAAGCTAATACCAAAGTAGTAACCAATTGGCTAAAAAGAGAGAAAAACGAACACAAGAAGTGCGAGAAAATACTATTTCTCTTTTCTAAATTTTATTAACCAAAAACAACATAATAACAATAAGTTCTCTAAGCCTTAAATAGACAAAACAGAATAGCAAAAGGGTAATAACTAGCAATTATTGAAAAGCCTTAAACTATAAAAAAGCTCAAATAACAAAAAGGTAAATAACTAACAATTATTGAAAAGCCCTAAATATGGAAAAGCCTAATCCAAGCCAGTCAGCTCGAGTACATCATCCTCCCCCACTAGGAAAAGATTCGCCCTCGAATCTGCTTCGTCTTCATTGATATCAACTTCTTCAGGTGGTAACGCAAGTGGCAACTCTTCTGATACAAATCACCAAATTTCCTAATTAAGGTTAGGACTTGTGAATGCAATTCTTTGATATGTTTAGTATGTTCATCTGCATTCGAACTAAACTGCTTTGGGACTAGAATTAATGCGTGTTCTAAAGGAGTAAGTAGACAAAACCCATAGACTATCCGAAAAGGAATATTGCCTGCAGTTTGGTTCAATGATCGCATCTGTAATCCATCATAGGAAAACTTGCCTCATGTAAAATCAAGTCTCATTGCCCCTGACGATCTATAATTAAACTTCTACCAAAAGCTAAATCTTTATCTCCATGGAGCATGAGGTTGTTATTCCCGTTATGCCCAAATTCATAATATTACTTGCAAACTAAAGACTTCTTGAATGAAGGATCATTCCGCATAACATCTTTGGGTAGAACTTCCTCTTTGTCAGAGATATTAGAATTTCTAGTAATTGACTTTCCACCAAAATCAATTACTAGAAATTGGAGCATCCATAATGGGATTCTCATCATCTTGCTCTTCATCGGATTCATCGTAGATAGGGATCTCGTCATAAAATGGATACTTATTGTTCTTCTCTTCTTTGGATTCATAATAGACAGGGACCTTCTGGTCTTATGTGAAGTCTTTGATGTCAAAGACTCTTTCGACGGTGTTTGACCAGTCGATGAACTCATCTGAATGAGTGGTGCCATCGAATTCCGGGATCTCAATCTTCACCCCAATATTAGCAAAAAGGGATTTATCACCAGATTGACTTCGTCCTTGTCGCTCTTGGTTCAAGAATGGGTTTTCGCACCTTTCCTCTACATGAGATGATCTTTCAGACCCCCTTCCTTCATCTGACTCGTCCGACTGTGTTAGGGCAAGCAATTGTTCGAGCTCCTAAATTCGTTCATCTTGTTCTGCCAGTGCAGCGGCCATTGCAGCTACAATTATGGCGTCTCGAGCCAGTTGTGTGGTTGTTCGCAGTCACCGTTAGGAGTGTTATCACACCCTCTACCGCTTCCGTCGCCTCAACACTCTCGTCCTCGACCTCGACCGCCATTGTTCTATTCAGGCATTTATGTGACAACTTGAGCTCAGATTACCAAATAATGCTGAAGCAGTACCACATTGACTAAACAGAAAGAAGAATGAACACAAGAAGTGCGAGAAAATATTATTTCTCTTTTCTAAATTTTATTAACCAAAAACAACCTAATAACAATAGGGTTCTCTAAGTCTTAAATAGACAAAACAGAATAACAAATGGGTAATAACTAACAGTTATTGAAAAGCCCTAAACTATGGAAAAGCCCAATCCAAGTCAGTCAGCTCGAGTGCATCAGAAGCATTACCCTTAAGTAAAGTAGAGAATGGAGGTAATATAGGAGGATTGCAAGTCTGCATTTAAAATAAGGAAAAACAAAATATTAGATATATATATCAACAATAATATTATCTTTATCCCAAACTAGTAGAAGTTGGCGGCCAATGAACCCATATAAAAGTTAAGAAATGATTGAGGGATAAGAAGTAATAAATAAGAAAAATAATATATCATAATATATATGTAGTAAAATAAATAAATATATAAAAAAAAGAGAAAAAATCTACCCCTCTCCAATTTGACCTAAGAAAAACAACAAGTTAATCAATTTCTCACTTCATCAAGTTTTGTTTTACTATTTTCCCCAAATAAGTCTCGGCTAATCTTTTCCCTTTTTCTGTCATATACTTGGTAACAAACTTCTGATCTTAGGAGATGTCCAAACCATCTCTATCTAAGGCTGCTTCTCTAATTTATTGGCTATTCCAATTTTTTGTCAAATATTTTCATTTCTTATATTATCTATCCTTATATGACGACATGTTCACCTTAACATCCTCATTTCTGCTACAACCAAATTTTTCCCTGTAAATGAAATTTATTTGACGTCCAATTCTCTTCACAACTCAAGAAATAGCAATTTCACAACCAAATATAAATCTATTGAAGAAAGTATTAACTATTTTACCAAATTCAATTCCCAACTCTACTATAAAATGTACTGCTTCCAAAAATGATTTGTGCTTCAACCAAATATTTAAAATGCTTAATACCTGTAAATGAAAAGCAACGAATGATACAATAGATAAAGAATTTAGAGTTCGGTCTTTGGAACTGTTGACATTATGTGCTTTTGCCCAGGATTTCATCTACAATAGGCAAAAAGCATATTAGCACAAAAACCAGTTTTAACAACTAATCAGTTATACAAAAACAAGTATCTTGGACAGCAGATTTGACAATTAGAATAGAGAGTAAATCTAGTACACTACAAACGAGCTCACTGGCAAAGAATGTTTGGAAAAGCTCAGATATTAATGAAATGAAATCCACTCAAATTTAAGTTCCAATTCTATTAGCTTTTTGATAAATCTGGTTAAACAATTAAGCCTTACAATTTGGCTTGCCTTCCACATTCTTCTACAACACACCCTTCCGGAACTCCAGACCAGAAATTACGAAATTCTTTCATTCCAATTGCAGAAGGCCATATACATGCCTTGTCACTCTCAATTCATTAACTTAGAAACGAATTCCGTATTTACCTTGAAGATTTGATGATTTATCACAATTCTCAATATGACTAGATATCTTCCATCTGTTCTGTTGTCGTTATCAAATGTTTTAAATAAAATACTTACACAAAAACTCGGCAAATATGAGCAGTAGCAGGCAACACATGCAAAAATATTAAATTAAAGCATGCATTATGAAGATATAATTCATTAAAATATCATCAACATGACAATAGAATGTTCAATTACCAGAAAACTTAGCTTCCGAAACCTTTCATCTATGCCAGAAATTGCATGGATAATATGGGATTTGGCAATGCCATCCCTATTATCGACTGATATATCACATTCAACACCTGTTCCACTATCAGTAACTTTTATAATTGGTACCCTGGCGGTCGTGATAGACTGTAAACCTGTGACATGTCCTTTTCCTACAACCCAAAAGTCATCTGTGTTATATTTCCAACAAAATCATCAAAGCTGTAAATTCATAACATATCAACATGTCACAAAGAAAATAAATCAAATCAAATATGTCACAATCATTTTCAATGAGATCATATTAAAGACAATAGAAAATGTTGTTTCTCTATCTCAAGTCCTTTGCACTACGTTGTAAAGAACTAATTCAACCCGAAAGTTTAAGCTGGTGGGTGAGGCTATATTAATGGTTTTATATATCTCTAACATGCCCCCTCACACGAGAGCCCACTGGGCTTAGAAGGGTGGACAATGCACAGACCCACGTACCTGTGCTAAAAAATTCCATAAGAGAAAGTGAGGGATGGAGAGAATCGAACTCGGGACACGAGGCATTGATACCAACTAAAGATTGAATAATAGAATACTTGTATATTAAATAATTGTGTGTTACAATGTACAAGAGCTCTCAATTTAAAGAGACTAAAAGACCTAATGGGCTAAGCCCACAAGATGTAGGACGTCGGAACAGTGCACACGCGCCGGTGAAAGGCAGTGCGTGAGAACCAAGCGCAGGGAGAGGAAGCCTCGCGTGAAGGCGCGTGAGAGCTCCTCTGGTGATGGGCCTTCCAAAAAACTGGTCGTCGGAGAGATGAGGTGTTGATCGCAGGTGTTTTGGTTGAAATCGACACCAGAACAGTACTACGGTGGCCTGAACAGTGACGAATAGTGGTTGTTGGCGGCGGGTAGTGGTTCTGATGGTTGAAGAAACAAGCCGGAGAGACGCACGACATAGAAAACATACCGGAGGGACACACGGTTGATGAAAAAAACTTGCCGAAAGAACGCACGGCAAAGTAGAAGAGAACACATAAGCAGTGGGCTTAGGGTTTTAGCGGAAGTGGATCCCCATAACGAAAAAGCTCTGGTACCAAGTAAAGAACCAATTAAACCCAAAAGTTTAAGCTGGTGGGTTAAGTTATATTAATAGATATATATATATATATATATATCTAACATACATAAAACTAAGTTGTTCTGTAACTTCCTTATTTAAAAACAGCCATTATGTCAGTCGAAACATTCTCCACTTAGTTTAATGCTGTTAATAATAATTTATTTCCCTCCGTTTCAAGCTTATACCCACTGAACAGGATACCAGATCATGCAATTTTTAGGAAGAGTAAGATTATTATCCAAACAAACATGAATTGTAGTGTTCAGCTCATTGGATTTGATAATTCATGGCTTCAAGTCATACCAAAGTGCAAATTAATTCTGCCCTAACTTGTGGTAATCATATAAAAAAGTTATCAACTCATTGTCATATCTATACTACATCTAGGTCTTGCCGCTTTCATGTATTTTATTACCCTTAAGTGGTGGTTTTCCTCTCAAATAATTCCATCTCCTACATGCATCTCTCTAGGATACATAGAGAATCTCATATACACCTAAACATTATAAAATAACAAGCCATAGTGGCCTTGCAACAATTTGATTTATGGTTCAGTATACAACACATGCCACATGATTCATTGTTCACATGGGTTAAAACTAGTGCACAGAGACAAGAAATATGATGTCAGGTGAAAAGAAATGTGATAACAATAAATTATGTAACAAACTCAAACAATACAAAGTTCTCGGATTAAATTCCTGATCAATGATGATCCATATCATGCATTACCAAGAACAAACTTCGTTTTTTTCTATGAACTCTGATTAACTCTCCACATATTAAGGCATATAAGATATGATATATAGAATTCTAGAATAACTTGACTAATGCACATTGCAGAACTTTCCCCTTAACAGAGCTAACAATAAAAAATGACAGTATGCTAATGTTAAAAACTTACTTTGAATTGAGAGTAATTTCTTTGCGAACTTTCGAAGGGTTTGAATCTTCTTCTTCCGTGGAACTTCAATTGAATTATTGAAATTGATAGACAAGTCAAGATCACTTTTGTAGTTGAACATATCCATTACAAATGATCCAAATCCTTCCACAACAGGGCAGTTATAACTATTGCCTGAAAGGAAAATAACATATGATTAAAGGGAAGCATAGTTTGCAAGGGAATAAGCTAACATATGAACTAAAGTTGAAGTAAAGGGACCAATAACATAAGAAAGAATAGGAGATGACACCAGAATTGCTAAAAGAAGGTCTAAAAGGTAATTCTTGTTTTAAAACACGGTGATTTTCTTTTTCTTTTTTCAGAAAAGGGGATTACAATGGGGCAATTATATTTTAATTATCTGTTCCAGATAATAATCTGTAATGCGAGAAATAATCAATGCCCAAGAAACATCAATTTCACAATTCTCTGACATTGTTAAATATTAAATTCCAATGCAAAAGATGGTTCTTTACCAAAAGATATGCTACTTACAAAAAGAAAACAGAAAAGGAATAAATGAGTCCAAACCAATCAAGATGGAAGAAAAACGTGGCAGTTTGATTTGATGGTCCATGAAATGATCCAATATCGTGGTAATATATGCCGCTGGCTTCTTACATTCTTATCAATGCAAATTTTCAGAGTACAATTTTTAAGGAAGCATGGAACAAAAGAATACCATATATTTCCTTCGACATCACATTGAAGATGCGAACCAAATCTTGTCTATTGTGATAATCAATTGGTTTTGGACACTGTCTAACATAGGCATCGCTGAGAAATCCATCAAGATCAGCAATGCGCACAGGAGTGAAGCTGATCGTAGCTAATTTGTCTGACTGAAGCTTCTCTGCCTTCTTTAGAAGCTCTGGCAGAGCAAATAAAAAATTAAGTCACTACTTCAAAAATTAATGCACTATCTGCCCATTTTTGAAAACCAATAAAAAAATAATAAAGTTAGGAGATTGAGGCATCCCTAGGAAGGGGGAGAGAAATGAAAAGATATAAATGATGCTTAATGAACTTTCAATTTTTTCCACCCATGATAAAAGGAAGCAGAACATGGACAAAACTCTTCCATTGTATAATGTTCCAAAACCTATATGTATCAACTCTGTTTCTCTCACTGATGAAAACTACTTAAAATGAAAGAATGATAATTAGTACCCTTTCAATTCCATGACTACCCGTAATTCCTTTCAATTTCACTCATTTCCATCACCCCTAACAAATCAGTATCACTAGCCTTCCCATTCCTCAATCTCATAGCTATGCAGATAGGAAATCTAGTACAATCTTTTTATTTTCCTTTAAATTCAAATAATCTCAGTGAGTGTAGTTTTTAAGACATAAGAACCAAAAATGCTACGGTGCTGAAGCGAATTCGCTCACCTTCCTCAGCCGATTCCATTATTGCACCGAAACCTGGCCATTTAAAAACAAACGAATTGGTTTAGCTTTAGAAGGTGAAAATAATAAAGAGATGAATTGAAAGAGAGTTGTTGCGAAATAGAGATGAATTGAGCTATGGCAGAAGCGTAATTGGATCTGTGGTGAGAGAATACTTACGAGAAGATGAACCGTTGCGCAGAGAGAAGAGGGTGAAATGATAATAAGGTTTCTGTTTTACTGCTACATTCGCAGACCTTTTTGGTTGTGTGTCTTTTCACTCAGTCATCCAAATCATTGTGTGACAAGATGCCGTTGGAATCTACCAAATCTTATGAATTAGATATTCAGAAAAATATTTTTGCAATAAAAATAAATTATTTGTATTTATTTTTAAAATAACGTCGTTTTAAGATTAAAATATTAAAAAATTATAATTATAAAGACTGTAATAATCTTGAAATAAATTAAAATTATAAAAATACCATAATTTTTGTTCCAAAATGACGTCATATTGAACTTACTGTAGATAATTTATCTGCTGCAGAAAAAACAAACCCTTAGAGGGTGCTAGGTTGAAGAGAAAATTTTTGAATACTAGAAAAATATAATTATTAGGGATATGGTGGAAAAGTAAATTTGGCAGAGAAATATAAAAAAATTGTTTGGTTGAAAAAAAAAGTTACCGAAAAATTAAATAAATTTTATAAGTTTATGTTTGGTTGAAGGTAAAATATTGATGAAAAATAAGTTACAATTACCAAAATATCCCTTATAAAATTTTGAATGTGAATTGTTGCTTTATGTTACACAGTACCATGTCAGCAAGTTGTTGCTTTTTTTTGTGACATTTAGCCGGATAAGTTGAAATACGACACCCAAAGTGGTAAAGTGGGGGAGTCTATTTGTTACAATTTTACATGCAAACAAGGATGGATGTAGGAATTACTTTGGTAGGAAAATATTATAATCTTTTTAACCAAACATGGTATAACTAGATTCCCAAACTCAAATGTCTATCTATCTCTTAAGATATCTCCTACCAAACACTACCTAAAGTAGTGTTTATAAGTTTATGCTTTATTTCTTTCAGTTTGAAAGATTTTATTTCTTTCCCATGCTTTATTTATTTGTGACATACAAGGTTGACTAAATACCAAATTCAATTACTTTTATTATATTATAATAATATAATAAACTATATAATGATATTTTAAGAATTTTCCAAATTCAATTGCATCTCTATGGTAACTCATTATACCTTTATACTGAATTTGGTTAGCTACCTTATCATTGCAGCCACTATTTTGATTCCGGGTATTGTGATTTCAGATTGCAATCAAGATTACGAACTAATAAATTATGGCATATCAGGCAACATTAAATGATCACAGTGAACATAAAGAAGGGGCACGTTCTCCTTTATGAAATCCAATAATAATTGATAAATCCAATGGAAGGAACAACTGATTGTGTGGCAAAAGGATTGTGCCGTCAAAACTTTAAAATGAAATAAGGTCGTTAGATGTTATAATTCATGATATATAAGACCATGAAAGAAGCAACGCATTAAAACAAAAAATAGACAACATTTATGTAACGACCCGAAATTAGAAAAAATGAAAACACGAGGAGTGGTCACCAATTTTTTTAAATTGAAAAAATTTGAAAATCCTTTTATTTTGTAAACTATTCTTTAAATTTTTTTATCAAGATTCGAGAGTTTAATTATGCATAAGCACTGCACATGGAAGGTGAAAACTTAATTCCACTTATTCCTGATACATCCGTTTAAAAATAATTACCTTAAGTTAGTTGCGCAAATTATTAATAGCTTTAGAATATTTGTTTAACCCAAATAAAACATGGTAAATAATAAAAATATTTACAAGAAAGGAAAATTTAATTATAAAAGTTTTATTTTGAGCTTGACAGAAAAACTATGCCCTGACGTATCTTTTGGTGCGATGAGGAATTCAAATCTACATCATTCTTTAGAAAAGTGTTGATTAGTTTAACTCAAAAATATTTTGAAACAATTTTACTTTTCTTGAAAATTCATTTAATTAAATTTGAAAATTTCAAATGCCCCAAATAAATATGTGGGATTAACAAGTCGTCACTGCTAAGTCGTCCCTATATAATTAAATTTTTAACGTTATGTTTCATTATAACAAAATTTATGATAAATTTAAAATAAGTTTTGGATTATCAAACTATCAAAGCTAAAATGATCCTGAACAAAATATGGGGTTGACAAGCCGTCACCACTAAATCACCTCAAAATTAAATGATTTTAATTTTATTACTTGTATTATTAAAATTTATAATAAATTCATATAAATTTTGGATCATCAAGCTGTCACAGCTAAAATGGTTCTAAATGAAATACATGGGGTCAACAAGCACTCAAGGCTAAGTTACACCTTAATTCTTTTAAACTGTATTTTCTATATCAATTAGTAATCTTTTGTTTATTAATATTATCAATAATGTTACTACAAAAAATATTTGAATCATTAGAATATCGCAATCAAAATGACCCAAAATAAGAACCAAAGAGTTAATAACCTATCACTGCTAAATTAACTCATTCGGTACCTTAAATCAAAATTCAACTGATTTCGAATTTATTTTATATATAACCTTTAAAAATAATCAATCACAAAATACATAAAATAGTAAATGGGCGTGCAACTTTGCATTACAAGTTGGAACTTTTCTACTAAGAGAGAAAAAAGTGGGGTTCATTTTGAAAAAAATAAAAAATAAAGAAGTAACTGGTATGGACATCAAAGTGAGGGTGATAAAAGAAGAGATTTCTCATGCAACATGAGAAATCTTGTTCCCATAATAAATTATGAGAAAAATGTTTCTGCAGTTAATGCAGATAAGTTATCTGCATTTATTCTCAAAACGACGTCGTTTTGATATTGAAATTTTAAAAAATTATGAATATAAAGACTATTATAACCCTGAAATAAATTAAAATTACAAAAATACCATGATTTCCGCCCCAAAACGACGTCGTATTGGCTTACTGCAGATAAGTTATCTGCAATAACTGCAGAAAAAACGAATCCATAAATTATACAAAACAGTGATAAAGTCAATGACATTAGCGGAGACATTACACAAATTAATTTTTTAAATTTTTGGTTTTTAATTTTAATAGTAAGAAAAAAAATATTTAGTCTTTTATAATTATTTAAGGCTAGGTTGTTTTTTTTTAAATGAAAAAAAAAAGACAAGTGTCACAAACATTCGCCCAAACTTGGTCTTGGGCATGTGAACATATACAGCATAACTCCAAATATTTTGATAAAAAGAAGGGCTAAGGTTGTTCTACAGCCCAAAGGGAAACCAATTAACATATTCACTAAAAGACAAAACTTAGATCCATTGTTGACGTAAATAAGTTATCTTATGTTAGTGAAATAAAATAATAAGAGGGACTTATAAATGATTGGAGAGAAAAAAAATAAAAGTGAAACTCACCTTTGATATGTGTAGGGGTGAAAGTGGGTTGGGCCGGCCTACAGGGGCCTACGGCCTAATTTATATCAGGCTGGGCCTGCCCCATTACATATAATCAAATAGAACAGGTTTGAGCTTTTAAACAAGCCTATTTAGAAAGTAGATGATAGGCTATTTCTTTTACATGTCGGGCCTATAAGCCTACAGGCCGGTCTATATCATATTATTTATTTTAAAATAAATTATAAAAAATAATATTATTCATAATAGTACCAAATGGTGATAGTTCAGTTGGTGCATGTGAGCTAAGTAGGTGATGGAAGGACCTAGGTTCGTTCCCTCACCAATACTATCTTTGAGAGTGACATAAAATCTGTACCAATTTCTACAAAATCATCAGAATAAACATTTAATGCTGGAGGAAGAGTTATTGATGTCTATCGTTCTAGTTTGGCTGAAAATACCATCCAAGTTTTCATATACGGCGGAGATTGGCTACGTAATAGGTATGACTTGAAGAAAAAAAACAAAAAAGTATAAATTTAATCAATTGAAATTATTTTATAGTTTAATTATATTCGATTAAATTTTTTTAATAAAAATTTGACTTTATTTTTTATGTAGGAGGAACCAACACCTCAGCATGTGAGATTGTCTATATGAATCTATTAAAAGATTTTTTGTTTCTATTCTTTATTCTTGTTTTTTATTTTCTACATTTACAAATTGTTTACAAACTTATGTAATCTTGGAATCGTATTTGTAGGAGAGAGAAGATAAAGAAATTTTTTTGGCTACTACAAGCATCATGATGTGTTTGTGGATTTATGTAGTTATTTTAATTTACATAGTATGGATTTGTTAATTAGATCTGATGAAATATATGTTATTTACTTTGAGCATTTTGTTTTTGAAAGTGACTTAAATGCAGATTGTGATGCTTTTTGTTGTGATTCATGATTCTATTTGGACGTTGAAATTATGATTTTTGCTTTAGCAACAGAATTTGAGTATTTTGTGAAGTTGATTCATAGTTCTGCTTGTAAGTTAAAAATCAACAGGATAACGGGCCAAGCTAGGCCATTTGTTTTTTTATAAACGGGCCAAGCCAGGCTAACAATTAGACTCGTACTAGGCTCGGGCCAGGCCAAATTGAAATTTTTTGACATAGGCTTAGGCTTTTCGGGTCAAAGCTCGGCCTAGCCTAGCCCATTTTCACCCCAAGTTATATGTGTGTAGGAAGATGGGTTATCTCATGTTGAATGAGATAAATATAACCCAAAAACAAAAGCCAAACGCTTAACACAATGGTTCTGGTGTTACACTACAAAATTTTTGCATTTTTTTTTTGCTTTATTCTGGAACATCAAGTTATTTTCCTATTACAGTAGGTGTACACCAAGGTTTGGCTCTGAGTCTTTATCTCTTTGCCATAGTGATGGATGAACTAACAAAGGACATTCATAGCAAGTGTCGTGGTGTATGCTATTTGCAGATGATATTGTGCTTATCGATGAGATCAAAGACGATGTTAATAGGAAACTTGAATTGTGGAGAAGCACTTTGGAGTCTTAAGGTTTCACGCTAAGCCGGAGCAAGACTGAGTATATGAAGTGTGAGTTTTCTCTGGTAAGAGAGGGAGATCAAGACCCCGTGCATCTATTTGGTCAAGAGGTTCACAAGAAAGATGCTTTTAGATATCTGGGATCAATTTTGCAAAAAGGTGGTAAGATTGATGAGGATGTAAATCATAGAATCAGAGCAGGATGGATGAAATGGTGAAATGCATATGGGTTTT